GACATAGTTTCGTTTTTTTTAATCATTTTTTTATTATTTTACCAAGGCTTCTACTGACATATTTGCATTCACAGTATAACGTATAAGGTTCTTTAATATAATTAATTCTAACAACAGTGTAATAGTTCATTAGTTTCTGAAGCCATCCAAGCAAAGGGATGTTGGTAGTGGTAGGGCATAAAGGATTTTATGTTATATATACAGAAGTATTGAATACAAGTCTAAATAGGTTAAAAGTTCATTGCATAGGTCACTTGTTAGGCCACATTTGGAATATTGTATTCAATGTTTGGCTCCTCGCCACAGGAAAGACATTAAATTGTTGGAAAGGGTTCAGAGAAGAGTTAGTGGTATGGTGCCTGGAATGGAGGGGTTGTCATACGAGGAGAGGCTGAAATCTCTCAAATTCTTTTCTCTTGAAAAAAGAAGAGTTAGGGGGGATCTGATTGAGGTGTTTAATATTGTAAATGGAACTGACAGTGTTGTTGCATCATCTTTTTTTTATATTTAACAGTGAGAATAGTAGGACTAGGGGACAAAAATATAAATTTTGGCAAAGTAGGAATCATCTTCAGCTAAGACAGTTTCATTTTTCTAACAAGGTGGTTAGCCTTTGAAATGGATTGCCTTCAGATGTTGTAGAGGCAGTAAATTTAAGAAAAAGCTTGACACGTTAATGTTATTTTAATTTAATTTAGAGAATGGAACAGCCAAGATGGACCAATAGGTCCAATGTTGTCCTAAAACATTATGTTATGTTATATAGTAATGTTATATATGAAAAGTTATATATGAAACAGTCAAAAACAATATCAATCATGGATAAAGAGCTCACAAAATAACATACTTGGGAACTGGTAACCACTGGTAAAATTCTGCTTTCTTTTGTACATGTATCCATATGTTGTCTGGCTTGCTCTCTAAAAAGAGTGTGTAAGTACATTATCTATCTATCTATATATATGTAGATATATATAGATAGATAGATAGATATACACACACACATTTCTTTTCTGTACATTTATGATATGATCATCAAACCTTAAGATGTACATTTGTCTGAGTCAAAAACCATGCCATAGGGTACAATGAACTATTTCTTGACAGTTGATTATTAATCAAATAGTGAAGACATAACTTACTTGTGCTAAACATATTTTTACATTTAAAACAATGAATGAATAAATGCAGTCAGTCACTAATGTTTTCCAAAAGTTAATTAACACAGTTTATAAGAGTTGCAAGTGCCTATTTAAATCTAAGTTTTCCAGTAGACGTACCAAAAATATTTCATAAGTTAAGTAGCATGTACTCAAGACATGCAAATTATTTTAGAGGAAGATTAACTAATATTTACCAAAAGTTCTAATTTGACACTCATTTCACACCTACAAGAAAGTTTGGTCTTTGGTTCAAGCTTAGCTAGTGACAAATCAACTACATAATCTGTGGAGAAAAGGAAAAACAATTTTTTTTTTAATTATGAAATCTTAGTACTGGGAAGTATATGGAGGTCCAAGAACATAAAAAGGTATTAAAAGATGATATAATTATGAAACAAATAAAGATTTGATACTAGGAAAGTGTAATAATTAATTAACTTTATTATCAATAAAATATTTTGGAGAGAGAGACTGATAAACAAATATGACTAGGTTTGAAGATGTCTTCACACTGGTAAATGTTGTACAGCTAAAAATAGTTGGTAAAGTGTGGTCATTCCTAATAAATAATGATGCAATGTGTCAGTTTATACAAAATTATTTTGTACAAACTGGACTTGCATGAAGGTTATAAAAACTAGTAAAAAAACTTATGGACAGAACAAAGTAGAATGGTACTTATGAAGTTATATTAATATGTTACAATGCAGAGAAAAAAATTATAATATTTACCTTGTTTAAGTAGAAATATCTTAAGATTTGAATCGATAATAAAGTCATATGAATATGGAAGAAAACTATTATAGGTTTCACATTCAGCTTGAGCATCAAACCATGTTGCCTGGTCACTACCCATTCGTACACAATAGGGTATGTGGTATACTTCAGCTTGATCTATAACCCCAAAATCAGTGTAACGTTTGGCTCCATTAGATGGATAAAGAAACTCAAAACCAAGTGGACATCTTGATCCATATGAGATACCTATGCAAAAATCAATAAAGTAATTTTAATAAATAAAAAATACTAATCATATTTGGAGCCACAAGAGCAATTATATGAAATACAGTTCCAAAGAATTTTGCAAAAACTTCCATTTCTATACTACTATAAACATTATAAAAACAATCAGTCCAATTCATACATGTACAGTGAATGTATATAGCATTCAATAATCTTATAACACACAAACTAACAAACACATGGAAGTCTTACCAAGTTAGATAATAATTTTCATTAGCAATAGTCACAAGAAAATAATATAAACAATGCAACCTTTTCCTGCATTATCAAATATATATTTGTACTAATAAATCCAATATAAATATTAGTTACAGAGCTGGGCAGTTAATGGAATTTTCAATTAATTAAACACTAGACTCATTAACTGATTACATTAATAAATTATTCTCACAAGACTTGGATATTTGAAATAATTGAAAATAGTAATAATTTAAAACATTAATTTTGATTAGTTATTTTTGTGAGTTGTGACTCTAATCAATTAAGATGAACAACCTTCAATTAATCAAAAATATTAATGAGAAATCATAATGGCATAACTTTGCTTACTTGGATAATTGGAATAATAAAAACAGTATCAATATGAAATCTTTAGTTAACCTGATTCCTATGTTAGCCTCTATTAATCATCCCTAAACACTATCCAATAAGCAGAAAACAACTTTTTGTAAGTCATGCTTAATTCAAGAAAATTAAACACCCAATGTTTAGTATTTTATTAACAAAGTTGAAAGTAGCATAATGGTGTATGGTCAAATCACATTCGTGTATGCTTAAACAAATATCTCAGTTGCTTTGTCTTCTGTTTACAATTAAGGTTAATAAACATACTATGTTTATTTCAAATAAACTATTTTTGTTTTTCATTTCCCATCTGCAGAACCACTACTATGCATTTGTGCACATTTTGTTATCCATGCATCTTTAAGTTACAAATCATGATGTAACTATCTAGAAATGATTCAAGTATATATTTACCTTCTCAATTTATATAAATGTTTTGATAATGACAACTACAATGCACTATTCTACTTATACCACCATTTCCTCAACAACCTTCTTTAGTTAAGCCTGGATCCAGCATGTGCTTTTTAAAATGGATATTTCATACTCACAAACATTCAGTTCAATTAACATTATCAATACTACTGAAATTTACTACAACCATACGGGAAATTTTATATTCCTACACTGGCTACAAAATAACAAAGCCTCTTCTTTACAGCTCATCAACATTTTCAGATTTTCACTAGAGAATAAATTCTAAGCCTATGTAATCTATTCATCACTGGTTCTTAATGCAACTTAAGGTTGATGTTTTTTTTAATTATATACTAGCTGAGTTACCCAGCATTGAACAGTGAAAATTTAGATTTGAAATGTATAGATCAGTATTTTTTT